GAATATTGATGATTATCAAATCTATAATTCTTACTCTTTACTATCCTCTAAATATTAAAGGGAGGCCTTGTGTGCTGCAGTCCATGGGGTTGCAAAGACTCGGACACAACTGAGCAATTGAGATGAACTGAACTGAACTCATATAAATTACAAAGCAATAGACTAAGGATTACAAAGTAGTGGTCCTTTTTCTCAAAGAGATCACAGTCCATAATGGGAGATTTACACAACGATTGGGCAGATAGTGGAGTGGGATAGAAAGAGACCCTCACCCATACCAGCTGATAAGGAACAGTTTCCTGGGGAAGATGGCGCTGAGCTGAATTTTAAAGTATCTGTAGGAGTTAACAACATAAAGGAGTGTAAAACGTGGCACAAAGGGGACAGTGTGAATCAGAACGCAAATGTGAAGTAAACATGCTCAGGCCGGTTAGCATCTGGATGATTCCAATTTCCTTTGACTTTAAAAAGCTAAGAAGTAAATGGTGGGGAATGAGATCAAGCAGCAAACACACAGGCAAAGTCACAGGAAACCTTCCCATACAAAATAATCTCTGTAAGGTAGCAAAATATCTACTTAAAGATGAAATCAAATTGTCAACTACTAGAGCATGCACTCTATCTATGCCTAGGGAAATAGAGTGAGTATCACTGCCTTACTTGGCATACCATAGTTGTATGGAAGTGAATAGATATCATTAAATATGTTACAGGGGGGTTTTCTTTCCTTTACTTGAACCCATTTGAGGTTTTTTTGTTTTTCCCTTTTTTTGGGGGGGGTTTCTTCATTGCTTTTGTTGGTTTACAATGGCAATGATTGCTGTGTCCAGACTTTGTGCTCTGTTTTCTTTGTTTTATAATTGGAGACTAACCCATGCAATGGAACTGAATTTGCTACAAGCTGATCCCACTTGGAGAAATGATAACAAACTAAAGACTTTACATTTTAAGAAAGGGATCTGTTCAAATCCATCCTAATCTAGCTTTCTAAAGACTTGTCACTCTCCAGAGAAACACGATCTTCCCTGGTTGTATATAGTAAAGACATCTATTCAGTACACTTTTTCCATTTTTCAGGCTTTGAGGGAAGAAAAAAAATGCTACTTCATGTTGCCAAAGGGCACTTCTGCCAAAAGTAGAGACATTTTTTTCAGTTGTTAACAGTTGCTCTCAACAACAAATTTTTTTACCCTTTTTATTGTCCAATCCCTGGCCAGAATTGCAACAATCCTTTGAACAATCAGTTCATTTCAGTTCAGTTCAGTCACTCAGTTGTGTCTGACTCTTTGCAGCCCCATGGACTGCAGCACGCCAGGCCTCCCTGTCCATCATCAACTACCAGAGTTTATTCAAACTCATGACTATTGAGTCGGTAATGCCATCCAACCATCTCATCCTCTGTCATCCTCTTCTCCTCTTGCCTTCACTCTTTCCCAGCATCAGGGTCTTTTCCAATGAGTCAGTTCTTCACATCAGGTGGCCAAAATACTGAAGTTCCAGCTTCAACATCAGTCCTTCCAATGAATATTCAGGACTGATTTCCTTTAGGATGGACTGATTGGATCTCTTTGCTGTCCAAGGGACTCTCAAGAGTCTTCTCCAGCACCATAGTTCAAAAGCATCAATTTTTCAGTGCTCAGCTTTCTTTGTAGTCCAACTCTCACATCCATACATGACTACTGGAAAAACCATAACTTTGACTAGACAGACCTTTGT